GGTTTAAGGCTTTGCCTAGATTCCCACTTGTCAGGATGGGTCCGGGATAATAACATGGACTGTGCCGCATGGGGAAGGATCAGATCCCAGCTGGACTAGAGTGTCCCTTCATCCCAAAGGATCTGGCCCTCTGCGCGCTTCCGTCCGTCCCATGGGAGGATGCCGAGGTGACAGCCTGGGCAGTGTTTAGACACTCAGATCTCCTGCGCTCTCGCTGGACGCCATGACCCGATTGCTGTGCAACCCCCAAAGGGATCCCAGCACTCGGGGGCAAGCAGCAATAAACAAATCCCAGTCCATCCAGGGAGGCTGCTTTGTTCCAGGCCCCCCCTCTCATCCCCCACCCCACACACACACACTCCCGGCGGTGGGAGGGTGGTGCTCGAAAGAGGAAGAGAGATTCAGAAAAGCAAGGCGAGCCGGGAACGCGTTTGGAATGTCTTGGGATCACTGGGCTCTAATCATCAAGCCAGCAGGAACCCCAGGCTGGCGGCGTCTGCTCCGGAGAAGGGGCAGGCAGGGCGCCCTTGTGCCTAAGGCACATGGGTAGGAGGCTGAAGAGCCGGGCGCTCATCCTGGCCATGCCAGGAGCAAAACACTTAGGCCAAGAGTTTCTGGCTTTAGGGTCCATGCTTAGGCAGCTAAAGGAGTGGCCTGATTTCAGAAATGCTGTCCCCCCGCCCCCCGTTCACATTAACTCCTATCATAGCCCTGGCTTGAGCCACCAGAAATCTGCCATTTCCTAACCTTAGCGCCCAGCGAAACATTCGAACACTTTGCTCTGATCGCTCGCTGGCTCCGTTTCCCCGTGGGTGGGATTCTTCACAGCACATAACGGCTTCTGGGCATAGCAGTGTGTGTGACGAACAGTTTCACCCTCAGGCAGCTGTGCCCCCAAACCCTCGTGAGCTGACCCGGGCCGTGGTTTTGCCTCCTTCTAGAGGCGGCACAGCCTTCCCCTCCTCCAACGGGACGCGAGCAGTCTGGGGTCCGGGCTTTTTCCCAGCTGCTGTAGCCTATAGGGTGTTTGGCCCATGCGCTGGATGAGATCCGCTGACCCTCTAAGTGCCTCTGAAGATCGGAAGCAACGCAGGGCCTGGGTGTGCTGGGAGGGGCCGGGGGCTGGAGCTTTGGGTTGGGGGCTGGAGAGTGGCTGGAGGAGAAAAAGGAATGATGGAGGCAATCATTCTGTGCCTATCTGATGTGAGGATGACGTCCCTTGCTCCCCGGGGTTCTCCCAGCTCAAATGGGATCACACCAAATGTCGTCTGTCCTCTGGCAGTACTACCCAGCGGCCCGTGCCTTCCGCAGCCTGCTTCAGGGACCCAGCGTCACAGCGCTATTCCTGGCCTTGAAAACCGCCCGTTGCATGAGTCAGGGTTTAAAATCTACTTTGCTTTTGAGTCGGGGGAGGAATACTGCAGGGGCGAGGAGGACATGGCACCAAAGTTTCAAGAAGGATGCATTTTCAGTCTCAAAGCTCAACGCACGTTTATTCAAAGTTTTCTGAACAAATTCCCACCGAGACTTCTATCTGCGGTACTTATGTGGTCCCCATTACCATGGGATCTGAGCCTCACACCACTCCGGGGAGGCAGGGCAGTGCTGTTATCCCATTGTACAGATGGGCAACTGAGAGTCTAAGGGACTTGCCCAAGGTCACACAAGAAGTCTATGGCAGAGCAGAGACTCAAACCCAGGCCTTCCATGTTCTAGGCTAGTGTCCTAACCACAGGATCACCCTTCCTCTTTCTAGGACATCACTTGACTCTAAACATGTAAAAGGCAGATGAGATTTTTTTAAAATATATTTTCAAGGGGAAGATGCTGCAGAAATCAGTCTTCAAACGGGGTCCTGTTTGTAACCTTAAATACGGAGGGGCTTCTCTGTCCACACCGTGCTGCTTACAGCTCGCTTGGGAAAACAAGCACGTTTTTGTCCCTTTTGCAGGAAGAGCAAAAAGACACAGGCAAGACGGAATCGAATGGAAAACCGCTCGGTGTGTGGAACCCTTACAGGCCGGGATTTTCAAAGGCCAATGCTGAGTGCTTTGGAAAATGCCACCTCTAAGGGACCTGTCCCTACGGCGGATGTTCATGGTTTTGCATTGCACTGCACCAGGGCAGCAAAGCTGGGCTAGTTAGTTTCCTGTTGTGTTTCTAGTTAGTTTCACTGTCCACATTAGCCCAGAATTGCTGTGTTTGGATTTGCAACCAGGCTGGGGAATGGCTACATATTGGCCACCTCCACCCCCACTTCATTTTTTTTGCAGTGATATTTAGTTTCTAAATGTCATTAAAAAAACTCTTTCCCTATTAAGTCAACCCGTCCCCCTTTTAGGCAAATCAGCATTATGGCCTCAACTAGTGGACAATTTCTCTTTCATAGAAATTACTCAGCAGTGGGAAACAGACATTCATAGAATCCTAGAAGATTAGCATTGGAAGAGGCCTCAGGAGGTCATCTAGTCCAACCCCTGCTCAAAGCAGGACCAACACCAACTAAAAATCATCCCAGCCAGGGCTTTGTCAAGCTGGGCCTTAAAAACCTCTAAGGAGACCCAGTGCCCACCTACCTCCAATCATCTCACTGCTCCCTTTGACTTTAAATTAGGCCCGTACGTAAGATTCAGAGTCTGAGGCCAGAAGGGACCACTGTGACCAGCTAGTCTGCTCTCCTGCATAGCCCAAGCCATAGACCTCCCCTGAAATAATTCCTGTTTGAACCAGAGCAGAGCTCCTACAAAAACATCCAGGCTTGATTTTAAAATTGCCAGTGATGAGACTCCACCGCACGCCCCTTGGTAAGTGGGTCATTCCCCTCACTGTTAAAAATTCACACCTTGTTTCCAGTCTGAATTGGCCTAGCTCCAACGTCCGGCTATTAGAGCTCGTTAGACATTTGTCTGCTAGACTGAAGAGCCCATTAGCAAATATTAGTTCCCCATGAAGGTACTTATAGACTGAAATCAAGTCACCCCTTAATCGTCTCTTTGTTAAGCTAAATGGATTAAGCACCTATAATTTGGCCTGTGATGGGATGTTAGCTGGGGAGGGATCTGAGTTACTACAGAGAATTCTTTCCTGGGTGCTGGCTGGTGAGTCTTGCCCACATGCTCAGGGTTTAGCTGATCGCCATAGTTGGGGTCGGGAAGGAATTTTCCCCCGGGCAGATTGGCAGAGGCTCTGGGGTTGTTGTTGGTTTTTTTTGCCTTCCTCTGTAGCATGGGGCACGGGTCACTTGCTGGAGGATTCTCTGTACTCTGAAGTCTTTAAACCACGATTTGAGGACTTCAATGGCTCAGATATAGGTTAGGGGGTTACAGGAGTGGGTGGGTGAGATTCCGTGGCCTGCGTTGTGCAGGAGGTCACACTAGATGATCATAATGGTCCCTTCTGACCTTAAAGTCTAAGTCTATTACGAGGCATGATCTACAAAGCATTAATCATTCTTGGAGCTCTTCCCTGAACCCCCGCCAATTTATCAGCATCCTTCTTGAACTGTGGGCACCGGAACTGGACACCGTATTCCAGCAGCTGAATCAGTGTGTAGAGTAGGTCACATAGTCTATCCTAGTGGTTTTCAACCAGTGGTCCGTGGACTATATCTAAGACTTCCAAAGGGGCCTTCACCACCGTTTGACATTTTTTAGGGGCCTGCCAATGAAGAAAGGTTAAAACCGCGGGTCTATCCCATTGGCTGGATTTTGGTCACAGAGACCGTATTTACTTCTATAGATGTGAGTGTACAGGGAGAGATTTACCCACCTCTTGAACTCCCCACCACTGTATGCGGGTAAATCTCACCTTTCTCATTCCAATACATGGCATGAGTGCATCCTGAGCCCTGCACTCCACTGGCAGCCGGGGGGGG